CCGTCCGTCCGTCCATCCATCCATCCATCCATCCATCCATCCATCCATCCATCCATCCATGTATCATCTACCTACCTACCTACCTATCCATCCATCTATCCATCCATGTATCATCTACCTATCTACGTATCTACCTACCTACCTACCTACCTATCTACCTACCTATCTATCCATCCATTCATGTATCATCTACCTACCTACCCATCCATCCATCCATCCATCCATCCATCCATCTATCCATCCATCCATGTATCATCTATCTACTATCTACCTATCTTTCTCCTATCTACCTACCTACCCATCCGTCCATCCATCCATCCATCCATCCATCCATCCATCCATCCATCTATTTATCTATAGTTAAAGATGGATCTATTTCCTCATAAGACATTTCAGCCCTTTGAATCGCCTTGGCCTTCCGACTGGCCTTTCCATGGTTCCACCCTAGAGAGACCAGTCCAAAGAAAGCCAGTTGATGCCGCTTCCACCTGAGCACAACCCTGGGGAAACACTGACAAGACCAACCTGCCAGATCCAGAGGAAATTGCAACATGCTCCAAGTCCACACGGCTAGGATTGCATAGACCAGAGCATCTTTGTTCCTGGGAAAAGGAAAGGCAAGTGTTTCAGAAACAAGGCACTGCTATAATTAGGCCAGACATATTGATTAGATTAAGGAGGTCTCCAACAATGGAAGCCTACAATTAGTTTCTGTAATTTATAAAATGGGAGTGAGGAATATTGTAGGTTAGAAATAATGAAACCGGGTGAAGGAGATAGGGTTAAAATTATTTTACTGTACTAATCAATTTTATAATAGCAAACCAAACTTCAGAAAATGAAACTTCCCATTTATTGGAGAATAAATTATCTCTAGACAACCTAGAACTCTCTGTATTTTAACTCGTTTTATTGCCTTGAATATATGTAAACACATTTAAATGAGTTAAAACCAGTTTTATGGCACCACTTTTTGAAAAAGGTGAGGCATCATCACCCACTTTGACTAGAGCTAAGAAGGCCTAAATGCCCATACATTCCATTGGAAGGGAACCAGCGAATGCCATTGCTTTTTAACAAGCATAAAGATTTCACCTTCCCTCATTCAGCCTGTTGCTTCTCATGCTCAAAGTTTTACAATCCTTTGAAACAGTTACATTCACCATCCCATCATTCTGGTTTATTCACAAGCATTGCGCCTTATAAGGAAAACCTGACTGTGGGATAATGGGGGGGGGGAACAGTTGGACAGAGAGAGAGACAGATGGGTGGGCAAACAGGCAGAGAGAATGACAGACGGGTAGAAGGAGAGGCCGCTGTCTTCTCTGCTGTGGGTGCAGCTGCAGGGCTGGGGGCACCTGAGCCCTACCGGACGTTCTCTATTTCCAGCGTTTCACTGGTGAACTCGAGGATGTCTGCGGCGGTGCCCACGAAGAGCAGCAGCAGCTGAGACAGCTGGTCCCTGGTGATCTCCCCACCGATGGGAAGGAGCCAGCGGCCCAGGATGAGGAGCAGCAGGAAGGTCTGGTGGAGGCTCAGCGTCCAGATGGGCTCACACATTTTGGAGAGCGTGCTGACAAACTCCTGGGCCTGTTGCAGCTGCAGCAAAGGCAAAGATCAGAAAGCAGAAAAGCGAAGCTAGAGGTGGTGGGGGAGAAAGTTTCTTTGGAGGAAGCGCTCTGGGTCAAGATCTGCTCTTGCACGTCTTGCACACCTACGGGGGGGGGGCAGTTGAGGACTGAGCAGACCCTTTGCACGGAATCCAAGAGAGTCCCTTCCCATCTCCCCCAACTGCCAAGGGAAATTATCTATTTGATCTTACACAAGTGGCTCTCCTGGACTTTACTTTTATTGAGAAAGGTATTTATCATTTCAGTGGTCCTTGGCCCACCCATAATGTGCCCATGGTTTTAATCCCATCTAGTATCTCTGGGACCGCATGGGTGTAATTCTATTTCCTTGCTGCACCCCCAAGGCTGTTGTTGTTGTTGTTGTTGTTGTTGTTGTTGTTGTTGTTGTTGTTGTTGTTGTTGTAATACATTTTAATTCAAAAAAACCAAATTGGGATTATGGGATATCAACCACCATCTCAACACTTACCTTTTCCATGATGTTGTTTGCCGTGGTCTCATTTCTGTAACTGG